CCCCACATTCCCTTCAACTTGTGACCACTTTATGGGCCAAAAGGCAGTTTAGTCACTATAGCCTATTTACTCCCTGGGTTCTCTAGAGAGTACAAGAATACTTAGCATGTTTAGTGGAGGAGGGTGAGGATTAAGACCTTTAACTCCTTCCACAAAGGTAAATGGATAGTACTCAGAAGGCTAAATTTCTCTACATTGTGGTAGCTCTTTCAGGGCCAGGAGTATTGCATTGAATGTAGGTTTGCGTTCAATATGGCTGGGACAAGTTGCTCCAAATATGAATCTGCAGACATCCTGAAACAATAACAAATTGTTTCTAGTCATCCAACTAGGAATGAAGACACCGGCTCTTTGAGTGTCAAGATTCATACTGTTTGTTTCAGCAGGGCATTCAGATAATGTACGTGTCATTGCTGGATGCAGTGGGAGAGACTGGGACAGGAGATGGCAGGGAAGCAGGAGTTTTGGAACCAGAAGTTGAGCCCTGTCCCCTACATCTGAGAAGATGTTTGGACACCTCCAACACTGTGCCTGTCTCCTGGAAAATTCATCAATCACGCATGAAGAAATCGGTTGGCCTTGCTGTAGAATATCCAGCTTGTAGCAGATTACATGGAGCTTTCAGTACACAAATTGATTTATATAAGCCTAGGTTTGGTTTACAGGTAGATAACGAACACTAAATAAGGCAGCAATAATGTTAAAATTCCTGTGCTGTCAGTTACTTCAAATAATGAGACTTGTCCTGCCAAGCAGTGAGGATTTGATGTGAAGACCAGAGTGCTGAGTTAGCACGTTGTAAAGGATGCTCAGCCCATGGCAGGATGAGACCCAGCATGTGTGATTAACTACATGGCCCAGCAACAAAATTCCCTTGTATTCTTCTGGAGATTCACTTTTTAGTGTTTCTTTCTCTTCTCTAGCAAATCTCTATTTATTTCCCCCTAGGGACCATTCTAAAAGCATCATCCCTTTACTTTGGGGTTTCAGATTAATCAGAACAAATGGCAGCCTGTGCCGCTCAATTCTTAGTCGTCCTGATCCATTCTGCTTCAGGGTGAAATGTCCAGCTTTACAGTCTCCCTTTGTTGTGTGTAGATCCATCTCTTTTCCACATTTTCCATTCCTGGTTTTGTTTTAGAAGCAAATGCTGCCTTTGCCCTGGGATTGTGCAGACTGCCAGTTTGAACCACAACTTGCTGTGTCACTTTTTTCCCCTTTTTAGCTGGCAAGAAGCATCAGACTGACAGTGCTGGAAACAAAACTTTCCTGATCCATGGGACAGCTACTGAAGTAATGGTTTCATTGCAAACTTCTTCATTCTTTGGGTATGGGTAAGTGGCACAAAGCAGAGCTGTGTTAGAGATACCAGGATGAACTCTGAATTAAACGTGTGCCTGAAAAGATCACGTGCAGGGTTTGGAAAACAGAATGCTCTCATTGTCCATTTGGTCCTTGAGTTTTCTCCTGGTGCTATCATCCAAGAAGTAAATTGTAGTAACGTTTGTCCAAGCAGACTAAGAACCAAGGTTCACTGAAGAACAGCAGTCAGATGGTAATGATTTTGCTTGCTGCTGGCTTTGGTTTTAAGTCTTACCAATGGGTTGAAAGTAAAAATTTCTTTACCAGTTCCCTGAAGCCTTCCAGTCTCCTGTACCTCAGTTCATGTATGCATATCTTCTACCTGTGCTGTACTCCATTAGATAATCAAGATTAAATGAGCACATTGTTTTGTTTCCCTTTGCCCAGGTGCTTCTCATGGTGTGACTTGTATAGGATTTGAATGTATATGAAATTGTGCAGATAAGGTGCATCTACTAGTTACTGAAATATATTTTCCTAGCATTAGGAAATCAAATTAATCTTTGAGCAGCTAGGTTGACATGAGCAGAATTCCACTTTGGATAGATTTGGCTCAAGGTCCTTTTGTAATAAAAAAGATAGAGTTCTTGGCATCAGTGGCTAACATTTACAGAGTGAATATTCCCTTATTTGTTACCTTAGACTTGTGCTTCTATGATGAAGAAATGCACAGTGTCTTTTAATTAAATAGTAACTAGCTGCATAATGATCTTTCATTTTATGCTCTCGGGCTGGAATACATAGTCCTCATTATGAATTTGTAGCAGTTAGGTGCCTTCTAATAATTAAGAATGGATATTGCTTTAAATTAAGTGTTTAGCAATTTAGGTATAGGAAGAATAACTAGAAATATAAGCAAACAGATTCTTCTTTTTTATTGTACATGATAGACTTGGTTTTCCTGAGCCAAATGCTGATGTGATTTGTTTTTTTTCCCCAAATGCAAATCCTTAACTATACCTATCATTTTAAGATTTTTTTTTTCATATTCAGAAATAATAGAACAGACCTCAAGGCACTGCATCTTGGGTGAAAGAAATCACCAGAAATCACTGCATGTGAATACCATGATGATGGCTATTCTGGAAACATGTGGAATAAATAGGTGCTAACAACTGAAGAACTTTTGATGTAAGATGTTATTTTTCTTAAATTTAGGACAGGACGTAAAGGGCCAGTAGTTTCCTCTGGGATGATATTAAGTAAATGAAGGGCATCCGCAATAGGTACCTGCAACGTTTGCATTTTGCATTGTAAGGACGTTTTTCCTATCTGTTCTTATTTGACCAGCTCCATACGTGGACACTACTATGCTGGCGCAAGAATGAATTGTTCTTATTTTATTTAATCTCCCTAGATTACACAAACCCTCAGACTACTAATGAATTCAGGTGTCCATTCCTGAACATCCTAAACAGGCCTGTACACTTCATTGCCTATGTACGCTAAGTTGTATAGGCAGCAGGACTCTTGCAGACAAGAGGTAGGGACCAGAAGCCCAGATCGTGGGATCCTCTTGGGAAATTAAGGCATGGAGGGAAAGGGGTGAGTCAAAATCAGGGTGAGGAACCCATCTCAACCCCCTAAGGTCACTGCTTTGCTCCTGAGTTTCTCTGCCACAAGCCTGTGAAGTCACTGCCTTGCCCTTGTGTCCAGTAGAAGATGTTTCTGCATTTCTGTGTGAATCATGGTTAGTGAATTTAATTAAACACCTTTATGAAACACGGTATAATTTCTTTAGAGGTTGAGGAAGCAAGGAATCCTTAGCCCAAACCTTGTACTGCATTAGTATTTGACCCTGGTTCTAAAATTACCGTGTCCCAGATTTTTTGGGAGAGTCCTACATTTTATGGCTGTGTTGCAGTGTCTGCAAGGATATCCTGAAATGACACTTTCGTTTTGAGTCAGGAAAGAAACAGTCCTTGTTTGGCATCAGGTGGCATCTTGATTAGAGCCCATCATTTTAGACTGAAATGGTATGGCCCTTGCAACTATTTTCTGTTGCTTTCAGGGCTCCCTGTATCCCTCATAAATTAAAATTACCAATGACATCTGCAAACAGCCATACGTGCTAAGACACATGAGTAATACTGCCCACCTGCTTAAAATTTAGCACATAGGTCTATATTTTCTGCTTTCATTAGGTTCACGCCCAGAGCAGCGAAACCCCTACATTCAAGAGAGAGGGAAATATAAGAAACATCCAACACCCCCTAAGAAACATCCATGCACTTAGGTAGCTGTAGTAGGATTAGCAAAGAAAAATGCATACCATAGGAATAAGGAAGTGACAGGGAGACGTATTGCCAGAGGAGAGTAATTTTCAGGAACCTGGAGCTAAGGAAAGCCAAAGCTTAGAAGTGTGTGCGTGCAATAATACACACTTAAAATATTGTTGGGCAGATAAAGGGGCAGGGGCAAGTTTCCAGGAAATAACCATGCTAGTCTGAGGTCAAGCAGAAGGCAGGGTAGATTTGCACATTGTAGACTAACCAAAGTAGATATAGCACCTGAAATGACACTTTCATCCTAAGGTGGGGAAAAAAACTGGTCCTGGCTTGGCAACAGGGCCCACCTTAGGCTGGAGTGGCATAGCCCTTGCAACTCACAAGCTTTTGTTACTTTTATCCCCTATAAATTACTAGGTGTAGCAGAGTGTGTGGGTGTGTACAGGAGCGTACATGTGTTTTTTAGGGATGTATTTGGTAGCTGCGGTGGTCTGAGACAAAAAGAAATGCAAATCTCTAGAACTCTTGGTAGTTGGTATATGGTACTTTGGTCAGTCCATAAATTTGTTTCTCTGTGTATTTGGTCATAGATGCTTTTGTTAGTGAATGTATATGTGTGTGTATGTATACATACTCATGTGTATACATACATGTATGTGTGGGTGCATACATATATGCAAATAAACACATTACACATGTATACATACATATAGATACATACACATACGATGATACACAAATATGCACAGAGACAAATTTATAATGCTTTGGTTAGTCTATATACTTTGGACGTTTAATAAGACTAACCAAACGTGCGTGTGTGTGCGCGCGCATGTGTGCGTGTGTGAGAGAGAGAGGGAGAGCGACTGGTGATTTCTTTCACCTGGGAAGTTACACACACGTTGGTTAGTGTATAAGGTGTTACTGGCTATTTCTTACACACACACACACACTCTTTGGTTAGTGTGTAAGGTGTTACTGGTGATTTCTTGCATGCACACACTGGTTACTGTATAAAGTGTGACTGGCTATTTCTTACACACACATTGTTAGTGTGTAAGATGTGACTAGTGATTTCTTACATGCACACATACACTGGTTAGTATATAATATGTTACTGGCTATTTATTACACACACTCTTTGGTTAGTGTGTAAGGTGTGACTGGCTATTTCTTACACAGATGCATTGGTGAGTGTACAAGGTGTTACTGGTGATTTCTTACACACACTAACCAGTGTGTGCATCAGATGTTACTGGCTATTTCTTACACACGCGTTGGTTAGCGCGTACCGGGTGACCGGTGATTTCTTACATACCACAACTCCCCCCGCCCCCCCCCCTGCAGCCGAGCCCGCGCATGCGCACCGCTCCCCGGTGCCGGACTCCAAGTCCCAGGCTGCCCCGCGGCGGGGCGGACGGGGGCGGCCAAGATGGCGGACGGGGTGCTGAGCCCCGGCGTGAACCTGGAGGCCTTCTCGCAGGCCATCGCGGCCATCCAAGCGCTGCGCTCCAGCGTCACGCGCGCCTTCGACTGCCTCAAGGACGGCATGCGCCACCGGGAGACGCTGGAGGGCCGCGAGAAGGGCTTCGTCTCCGCCTTCCAGGACAGCCTGCACTCCGTCAGCCGCGACCTGGGGTGAGCGGGGCGGGGCTCGGCCTGGCCGGGCTGGGGGGCTTCGTCTCCTCCAACTCCTCCCCTTGGCAGGAGCAGGCTCCAAGCTCCCTAAACCCCGTGGAAAAGGGACACGTGGGATGTGCAGCAGCCCCCTTTACGCCTCGCTGCCCTGGGCTGAGAGTGGAGCCGAGGGGCCCCAGGGAGAGCCGTCCTGCCCGTCCTTGGGGTGCCTGGTGTCTAGCTGGTGAGGTCTTCTAGCGGCTGGGGTTGGGGGTCGTAGCCCCTCTTCTAAGCGACCTTCCTAAAAGCCACCCCCCCAGTGGAGCAGATGCCTGGATTTGCCATGGGGGCAGCTGGTGGCATCGTTGCCACAATATGTTAGAGTAGCTGATGTGAAAATAACCTGTGTTCTTCTTGTTGGAATAATGTTGGCCTGTATTCGCTGTCCTTGCTGTTTGCTTCCTAGCATAGGGCTCAGTTCTGCCAAGGGATTGGCCATATGGATGGTAAGGGGCCACCAGACTCGATAGGGAGCATTAATATCGGTAACAAGCCGCCGGGATCAATGGGGAGCATTAATACCAGTAGGGGGCCACCTGCATAGGTCCCTTCTGGTTGGTCATTACCATAGCAGGATCCAGGCTGTAGCCTTGTTTGCCTTGTCGAAGGCCTGTGGTCTCTTTTTAAAAGGTTTTTAAGTAATCGGGTTTCTCCTGTGAACATTAGGAAACTTCCCAGGCACCTGGGGGGAAATCCAGTTCCCAACCAAGAGCAGCCAAGAACTCAATCCAGGCAAGCAGTGTTTAATTATTTCTTGTCTCAGTGCCAGTTGATGTGTTGCACTGCGACCCACGTGCTTATATCAAGGGTGAATATAAATGGGCCTCCTACCTGGTTGTGCAAGATTTGAGTTGCAGAAGAATTGGACGACTGTTCACTGCTTTGTTAAATTTCTACCCTCGCTCTGATTGGTTTTCCTCTTGTCTGCACACAGGTGCGTGTGTGTAAAGCTGTATTTTAGAAATGGCGTAGGATGAAGATGGTGCTACTCTTCCTTCGCTAAACAAATATGGTGACAACGTAACCTTCATTAAGCTGTTTTCAGAATTTCCCCTCTTTTTCTTTCTTAGAGAGAGACAGCATTTGGCACAAATGCATTCCTACAGCATCTTCAGTTTAAGGGGATACGTACCTCCTTACCCAAAGCATGCACTGATTCAAACTGTATGTGTGCAGTCAGTGTTGGCTGAGGACATGGCACTGTCAGTGCTGTTGGAAGCCTTGAAAACGAAGGGCAGTAACAAGCCTGAAGCTGCCTAGCCCCTGTTATTTCTTCTGAGAGCTACTTCCCCTTCTCTGTTTCTGGGGCAGTTGACTGGTGGACATTTAAATTACAAAGAAAACAGTGGGGTTGAAAAGTGCTATGCACTTAAGTGATTTATGTATCTAATTTATGCCAATAACAGGGTTTGTTGCACTGTCATCAACAGGCAACAAATTGGGACAGGCATTAGTGAATTATGCCTTTCTCTGATGTGCACATAAGTGGAGTACAACAGAGCTCTAATCTTTTTTTCTGTGTGTTGCCGTATAATTGGGTTAAATTATTTTTATCATTTATGTAGCATTGAGAAGTGAGAGGTGCTTTTTGGGCACGCAACAGCATATTTCAGTTTTACAAGAAAAAAATCTGACAATCTCTTGTCTTCAGCAGATTTGGGGAATCTTTGCATTGGTTTCAGTTGACTTTGTGCCATGTCCTGAAAGGGCTGATTTAGGACTGTGTGGGTGCATCCCCACATTCATTAATGCACCATAATTATGGTGCGTTAAGTTTAGTACCTGCTATTACAGGTACTATCTTAATGCACTGTAATGAGTGCTACTGCACATTAGTGCCATTTTTTATTGTGCCACTTAATGTGTGTTAGACAAAGTCTATTGTGCACTAGCATGCTTTCTGCATGACACGCTAATGTGCAGTAGAATTAGTCTAATGCACTTTTAACATCTCATGTAGACATGCCTAGTGTTGCAGGTACAAGCACATGTAGTCCTGTTTATTTTAGTGTTAGTAACAAGGCTGTGGTAAGAAAAAGAATGAAGTGGCAGTGGGAAAACTGTTTGGATCCCTTTAACAATTAATGTCCTGATTTCTGGCATTCATGTTGATAAACTTCATCAAATATCCATTAAGCTTGGGATTTTATTTTTATTTGAGATTTTGATGTAATGCCTAAAAAGTGAGATGGCACTTCATAGACATTTGTGAAAGCAGATTCTTGTCCCAAAGCACTACCTGAAGACAAGGCTAGACTTCAGATGAGAAGGATGCAAAAGTATTATTTCCTCCTTTTTGTACTTTCCATTTTAATTTGGTTGTTCCTGAATATGATGTTCCTCACTTGAGTCTGGATCTGTGGAGACTGTGTGGCTCCTTCTCTGATAGGAGTTCGTGTTCTTACAGCAGCATTCCTTGGTGTACTCAGACATGGTCTAGACATGCCTCCCCCTTCAGTGTTTGATATAGATTAGGAAGTGTGTACGATGCTTTTGAAAATACAGGATGCTTCCTTGCCCTGAAAACTTATAGTCTACACATCTGATTTGTGCAGTAGTGCATTCTACTGGTTTGGCTATGTTCAGCCCTTAATTATGAGCTCAATCTAATAAAGTGAAAGACTAGGCTTTAATTTAGAAAGCATGGATCCTTGAGAGAAACCAATTCTTTGTCTGCAGGTGAACATTGTAACAGTTGCAATCAGTGGAGGTGCTTAAGTTGGAGTCCTGCTGATTCAGAAGGCAGGTGCTGTTTAAGAGTGGCTCTGGGAACTGTCCAGGGCCTTGGTCACAGATATCCTGTGTCTGTTGATCTACAGGGCCTGTTACAAAGCCAGTGTACTTACCCATGTTTCTAGGGAGAAGGAAGCACAATGAAGCAATATATTGGCAGGATAAAGTATTTTTTAATTCCTTGTTTAACACTAACACTCAAACATTTGTTAAGCTGCATTGAGCTTTGGGCAGGCACTTCTAAAATTTTATGTCTAAATCGAAGTTGAGTTTAAAAGAAATCAGTAAAGGTAGATCTTATCAGAGTAAGACATGGTCCTTACACCTCCTGCATGTGTGTATCTGCACATCTAAAATGACAGCTGTCACTGATTTTCTGGGATAGTCCCAGATTTCATGGTTGTACCCTGCTGTCCTGCAGAACTCTCCAAAATTTGACTTTGGCCCTCATGTGAAAAATTGGTGTCAGATCAGCATCAGACATTGTCCCAACTGGGGCCAGACTTCTCAAACTATACAGCTGCGTGACCTCTGCAACTGAGTTAGTGGCCTTCCATTTCATTGCTACTAATTGCTGTTTGTGGACTAGTTCTAGATCTTGCTCCCTGAATGTTGATAGCTTTATACAGGACTGACACAAAAAGGTGGTATTTTCTTTCTTCCACTTCTAGTGAACTGGAACGTCTGAGCAATCTGGTTGGCAAACCATCTGAGAACCATCCTCTTCATAATAGTGGATTGTTGAGCCTAGATCCTGTACAGGACAAAACTCCTCTCTACAGTCAACTGCTTCAGGCCTACAAATGGTCAAACAAGGTAAAAAGAATGTGTATTAAAATGCTGAAATGATGACTTGATATCTAGCTAAGCTTAGTGTTTGGCGTGCAGTGCACATAACATTTGATTTGCCCTTTAGGCACATCTCTGTGTCCAGGCTGCAGAACTTGCCGTAAAATTGTGGAGCAGAATTTAAGCTGTAATTTTCTGAATGTCAGGCCATGTTCTAATATTATCTTCTGTTTGTCTTCACATTTCTCCAACGGAGTCTTAACTGTGAAACACATGAATACCTTGAGTGTTGTCTCTTTTGCTGCATGTTATTTTAGTGCAGACATCCAACAAATAAATGCCTGTCTGCTCTCAGCCACAACATTTCCTACTGCATCTAAGGACAGTGAAATGCAGAGGCAGGGTCAGGAGCTGCTGAAGACCCCTCCAAACCTGCTTGCGAAAGAGAAATGGAGAGGAGATGCATTGCCTTCCCCTTTATTAAAAGCTTTAGCTGCTTCCCATGCCTTTCCATGTGTCGTCATCATCCCCTGTCTTGTAGCTGAAACCATTTATTTCCTGCCTTTCTGATGATTTTCCCAGTATAGGTCTGCTTTATAAAAATCATTGGCACAGCCAGTATCTCTGGACTGTATAAATTAAAGTGAATTCAGAGTAAACACCACAAAGAATACTGTGCAGAGCATAATGTTAACTTTCATTTTTGAATTTGAGTTAATTTAACTGTAACTGCTTTGGGAGTTTTGGTCTACTTTAGAACTCAATGTCAATTTAAAATATGATTATTCACCTGGCCCGCTTCCAATGCCCTTCAGGCCCCCTAGAAAAAAAATGAATGGTTTCTGTGTAAAATTTAGTTATGATAAGAAGTTCACTTTCCATAATCATGAACTCTCCTCCTTTAGTGTATTTAGAGACTTAAATTGAGCATATACCCTGCTTTGAGTACAGCCAGTGCAAGTTGTAGTGGATTAAAACTTGTGTTGCTTAATTTTTCTTTTCTTTCAGTGCAGAAAAGATACAAGTTCACTCTTGACACCACAATACTTCAGCTTTGCTTCTGTCATCTTGGATTTTTCTAGCATATGCTGACAGGCAGTTTGTTTGTTGCCTTGTTTGAAACAACTATGTTGAGTTAATACAACTAGGAAATGAGTTAATTTATGACGTGTTTTATCACTAGCAAGAGGCTATGCAGTTGGAACTTAATGACTGATTATCATGTACAAGACAGGGCAGGGTCTTTCTCTTTCACATCACTGTACAGATTCTGTTGCACTAAACAGGAATGAAAAATAGCAAAAATTATTCTGGTCAGTGACGTAAACAGGTAGATGTTGCGATTGAAGAATATTTCCTGTGATGCATAAGCAAGACCATCTTTCAAACTCCAGAATGACTTTGGAAGTCCATCTTTATTTGAAAGCTGATCTGGCATTATTGAGATCCACACACAGAATCTCTCAAAGCCTTTATTACAGCCCTTTTTGAAACGGTACACGTCTGTTAATATTTTGGCGGCAACTGGTACGTAGCAGTAAGATGCTTGATTTTGGGGAGGAACAGGAGGGCAGGGATTTTTTTTTCAGTAGAAACATGCTATACAGATCCAGCCTATTAACAGCACTACTCATTTTCACTTTGTTTCCTGCCATTAGTTTTAAATCAGATTCTAGGAAGGAAAACAATTGATATATGTATTTATTGATATATGTGTTGTTCTTGGAGAGTAGCATAGAAACTTTACGCTTAGGCACAAATATTTCTGACTATATGCTTAGTTCTTTAGGGATTTAGTTACTTCTTTAGAGAATTAAATCAATTTAATTACATGACTTGTAACAGAACACTTTAAAATATAAAATGTCCAAAGAGCTACGCAGAGCTGTTGTGCTGTTTTTTTGTTGTAGTCTCTGCTCCTTTTGGAAAGCATGAGGCTTCAGTATTCTCTGCATGTACAGAGCCATTTAATTCTAGGGGGAAAATAGTGTTTGTTTTTCTCCTGTGTTGCCTTTGCTACCTGACAAAGTGGAATAAGTCGATGAAGTTTGATTTAGGTAAATACAGGCTACACAGTGCATTGGTAAACTGCTTCCTTGGATTTCTAGTAATCAGCAGTGACTTCCTGCTGTGCTTTCAGCACTTGGCAGTGGTGCAGAGATCACTTCAGTGCAAACACGTGTGGGATGGCTTTTGCTGTCCTCTGGCTTTGGTAGTAGCAGATTCCAGTGGCACTCCAGCAAGAGGCTGCTGCTAAACATGTTCTTTGAACAAATGTAATAATCATTCCTTTCAAATATATATATTTTTTGTTTGACTACCTCATCTATCTACTATAGGTGCTATCTGTTTTTTGCTGCTTGGAAGGAAATTGTGTAGTGGCAATGTGTCACTGCACTTTTTGCTGGTCTGCATTTCATTTTTGATTTGTGACCCCTTTGTGGCTGGCTTGTATTTTTGATGAGCTGAGATTCCCATGCCCCCGCCTCTGTGATTGCTCATGCATTACTGATTGTATGAATAGCCACCTGGCTCCTAGTGAAGGATGTAGAGGGGATGGGAGGGGGAGTGAGGTTGGCTAAAATAGGATTTCAGCTGACAGCTATGAAGGAAAAAAGAAAGCACTCATTTGAGGCTTCTGCTGTTGTGTGGTTCCACACACACCTGGTTAACCATTAAACCATAGGACTTTAGATAGGACACTAACTGGTAGTGTAGGAAAGAGCAATAAGAAGGGAGCTGCCTTGGAATGTGAAAACGATGTGAATATACTTCATCTTAAGATGTTTTAAGTAGTTTTGCAGCATGTTATAGTTTTGGGTGTATTTGGAAGTGCAGGTTCTACTGCTAAAGGGAGATTTATAAGTACTGCTTTTTTAAATAACCTACTTACTTTCTGTGTTCAAATATTCATTCAAAGGGTTTGGTTACTCTTTAGATTAGCACTTTTGGCTCTCAACCTTTTCTAGACTTGAGGCATCCCTTGGAAAATGCCAGTTGGTTTTTGCTTGTGTTATGACTATGGGAAGTTACAGAGCAATTCTTCCGATGCAAATAACGTGGACCGCAACAGGCCAAAAGGTTTTTGACACCACGGATTCCTATTTGAAATTCCTGGGTTTGTCTTGTGAATCATGTTCAAGTGTTTGCACATCTAACTCTGCTAATGTTGAACAGCACCCTGTGGTACCATTAAAAGCATCTCGTTGCACCCTAGGGTGCCATGGCACGTTGGTTGAGAGTCACTGGTCCAAAGACTGCTGTTAGAATTTTTTTTCTATTAAGTATGTGCTCTAGTTGGCCAAGGTAGTTCAAGCCATGGGGAGCTTGTGAAATGAACTGCCCTAAAGCACAGTATAATATTTTATTTTTTTTAATCAGTCTGTTTTTGCAGTTTAGGAACATAAAGAAAATAATTTCTACCTCTACTGCTGTTTCTGTCCCCAGCAAAGTGCGTTCTTAAAATTGAAGACCTACGGCACTTGTGATTTTCAGTTTGGACCAGTGTTAGATTCTGGTTCTTGTGACTTGTGAGACTTTAAAATGGGCAGTGGTTCTTCAGATGAGTCGTTCTATATTGGTGTTGGGCCAAGATTTAATATATAGCAACTCTTGAAACTGGAATTTATGTAAATTTTGATTGCTGTGCATGCTGGACACCGGGGGTGAACTATTTGAAGTGAAGTAGCAATACTATGATTAGAAGAAGGTCTTATTTTATAGACCTAATTAGAAAAGTCTTTCTTAAGAATCTGCAGAGCAACACAGGAGATAAAGGATTCCCTTGACAATTTTAACCTTGCTTTATCCACCGAGTGTAAATGTGTGAGAGCTGTGATTAATGCATATTCTGTGGAGGACCACATTTCAAATGGCAATTACTGTCCTAAGGCTTTGGCCTAGGGCCATGCAGATAGATTATACTTAATAACTGTGGTTTCAGAGAGAGTTTTTTTTCTCAAAAACTTACTTATGAACTGCAAAACCAGTTCTTTCTGGACTTAGATAACTAAGACTTGCCTGATTCAAGGATATGGTGAAGTGAAATAGCTAAAACTTTCCCTACACAAGGTTCTTCTGGCAACTCTCATTATTTATTAACACCTGCTATCTTGATATTTACTTACCGAAGTTTATCCACCGGTTTTGCAGGCTGTAAAATTGTCCACGTAATAGAAACAGCTGTTTGGGAGCACAAAACAGCTTGTCAGATGTATTAATTACCCACACATACAGCTGCGAAAGAACTTTACTTTTACAGGTGTTGTCTGACAGAGCTTACAAGCTTTAGTTGGTATAAACATAAGTCGAGGAAGGACTAAATGGTTTTGCATCCACTTTGGTTAAATGAGATCTTGCTGTAACTACTGGGAAAAGTCATATGTATAAATTGGGTTAATTGCTGGTTGTAGAGCACTTGGAGACTTGTAATGTCTCCATTATTTAGTATTTAAGTCTAATTTATATAATGATTTCATTTTCATTTATTTAAGAATAGAAACCAAGTTCCTAATTGCAACTGAAGTATTATTTCCCAAATGGGCCCTCATGTATATTCTAATGTAATACTGAAGATGGATGTTGGATAACAAGAAAACAATGAGATATTTTCCTGTAGGAGAAGCGCTGATTGGATCTAAATATTGTTGGTAAAATAGGGAGCTCCTTGGAGCCAGAAGATAATCTTTTAATTCTCATTGAGCTCTTCTGCTAATGATAATACAGCAGTTCCTGTTTCAGTAATTGTGTGCATCTGAGCAATTGCATTTTTGTACTTTGCTTGGTCTTTCAAACAGTTCAGCAATTTAAGGTTACAGTAAAGTTGGTTAGGGGCCTGACGTGTGTTTGTGGCCCGATTTTTTACTTTTGTTATTTAGCATTTGACCTGCTGGGTGACATTTAGTTATTTTCTTGTTATCTGTGCATTTTCTGCATTATGTGAGAACTCACAGAAAGGTATTATGGGAGATAATCCCTCAATTATACATTTGACTTGAGGAGTTGGTCAAAAGTCACTCATTAAATTA